AAACTTAAGAGTTAAATAAGTGGTTGATAAAAGTTTAAGGACTGAAATGGCATATATGTGAAACTTAAGAGTTAAGTACGGATAGTAGATGTGACGTCCGTCGTTCGGCGTTCTTCTGAATGAGGGCAATACAACACTGGTTAGGGTTTTACGCTGATCCAGGAATTGGCGGGCATTTGGTTAGAAGATGAAACCAGTGGTTGGACTGGTGGTGTCGAACAAAATGCAGAAATCGGTAGTGGTCGCCGTCGACAGTCTATTCCATAAAAGAATCTACAATCGCTACATGACACATGATGAACAAAATCGGTGCAATATTAGCGATCGAGTACGTTTTCTTCTTATTACTTATGAATAAATCTCAAATTTTGAACAATCTGCTCTAATCCTGATAACTTTCAACCCCAAAGTCGGTACAATTATTTGTATATTTGAAGTTATATCAGTTGTACAGTATAGCAACATATCATAAGCAGAAAATTGTTTGCTTGAAACCTATATTTTGAAGCAAGAGCAGTGTTTAGTTTCGTCTTTGACTAGAAAGTCCAAAAATTTCCCCAAATTGCTGTTTTGGAGCGATCCTATGGACATTGCTGTTGATGGAATAGTTAATGCCTAAACTTTACTAGGGGCTAAGAAATGCTTCACTAAAGAGGATACGAGAGGGACAGAGGGGGTGTACTCGGCAGTAAACACGAGACAAGAAAAACCAAAGGTGTAGTACAGGAAGGCTTAAGCAGTTAAGCTAGAAGAATACAAGTAATCCTTCCCAACATAAATCGAAGTCAAAGTGTAGAGTCTTGATGGAATGGAAGTGGTATGCTATAAATATTGAAGTCACCAAAAAACATAAACAAACATATAACTTAAGTTAGAAATACTATTAACAAAATGTTAATCCATGCATCCCAATAATGCATGGTAAATTTATAGCATACCACTTCCATTCCGTTAAGAAGCTACACTTTGACATTGGATGTGAAATGGATTGTTGTCAACCTCCAAATTCTTGTGGAAAGTGTGCAATGAACTTGCAACAATTACTACAAATAGTTTATGGCTATTAAATTTGGAACATATTTTTTATGAGTACTGTTGTGTAGGGAAGAAACAAGGGTTCTAGAGAAGTGAAGAGATTTTATTCAAGTGGAGGAACACCAAAAGAATGGAGAAGTTCCTCAACACTATATGGTATGATAACTGGTATTATGGATTCCAAAATGTAAAGGATCACTATGTTATTGGTCAGAGTGATCATCTTTCTTTGGAGAATTATTATGAGCTTATGTAGATATTTTGAATTGCAAACTATTTATTTGACAATACCTTTTTAGTTCTTTCACCAAATTAAATGCATTTACATCAACTTATGATATGAAACATGACCACGATGACTAAAATGGAGAAGCAAGACTTTGTCTGTGGTTTTAGGGATTAATTGATAACTCTTCTGAATCATCATATTGTACTTTACATGCCATGGGGGTTTAGGCTATCCAGTTATGGGGCAAGTTCAGAAGCAAATCATGGATGCACTTCACTTGGGCGAAAGAAAAAGGGCTTCCAGTCTGCTGTCTCATTTTGACTACAACAAGCCTGCATTGATAGCGAACAATTTCGTTCAAATTCTTGAATATTGTACATTGGCACCTGATCCCCTGGTAGGCCATGGAATGAATTACTTTACGGTGTTTATTTTCATTGGGAATTGTAATCTACTATGAATATGCAAACAATTGATTCTCCATGTATTGCTTTAGTTTTTTTTAATTACATAAGTAAACTTATCAAATATCTGGCATCTTGCTCTTTTTGTTACTTGTTCTTCACTAAATATGTCACCCCATATGTCGTTGTTCTTTGAGGCATTATATGAATTTATTCTTTCATGTAGTTTGCCATGGAGATTTGGAGAACTATGGAGGAAAAAGGAATTGACATGAACAATGAATGCCACACTCTTGTTATCCTTGCCCTCTGCAAAGGTGGTTACTTAGAGGAGGTATAAACATTTTTTAAATAGGTGTTTGTATTTGCCGTATGATGAGTTGCATTTTAAATAGTTGGATTGAAAAAGAAGTTGCATTTAAAAAAAAACACAGGTGTTACTGGTTAATTACAGTGTTTCTTGTCCAAATCTGTTATGTAGGCATTCACCTTGATGAGTAATTATGGGGAAACACCAGATTTTTATCCTACTCTGAGCAAATATAATACTCTTCTGAGAGCTTCTGCTAAAATGCGGAGTGGAACTCATGTCAGTAAATGTTTGGATCTAATGGAGCGTGATATGGTGGGGAAAAATGAAGTAACGTATGGCCAGCTCCTCAGGGTATGTACAGCAATACCAATTGAACTTCTGAATTCTTTGTAGAGCATGCAGAGAGTTGCTATTGAGGTTTTTTCTCTTCTTTATTTTTGTAGTCATCATGTTAAAAATAGTCAAAATTCACATGCAATGTTATTTGGTATGTTAAAATGTTAATTTTTCCGAGGCAACATATAAAGAGCCATTTTAGAAAGGAAGCCCTAAAGCAGAATATGGGATTTAGATACCGAGAAATAAGGGAAAAAGACTCATGTCACTTTTCAGCACATGTAAAAATTTCAAACTTCACATGCTGCAGGAACTCTTATGATCCAATGATTAATGATGTGACATACTCTTGAATATTGCATACAACCATCGAATTTCAACGAACAACTGCTTCTAGTCTCAAGAAGCAATAAAATTCAACTGAGCCACTAATTGAAGTTTTCTATTCTAGCGAGTCATAATTGAGATCTTTTGGCACATTATACGACACTGAAGAAGGTATTATGTGATTTAAAATCAGAAATCTTGCCTTGAAGCTTTTAAATAGATAATGTTAATCTGACAATTCATTAGAAACTAGAATCGGACTCTTTAGTCTATTTAATTTGTGGATATGCATCTTTAGTATCGATGATGCACAATGGAAGCACGCTAGGTGTGTTTTAGCAAGTGATTGTTTAACTTATGCTTTGGAGGGTAAATTAAAACGTTTCAGAATATCCTTCATGGCATACAATGAGTCCTTTATATAGGACGCTGCTAATTTTGACAGATTCAACCAAATTAAAAATTATGCTTAAAATACTGAAATTCTCTACCTAATGGACACGATTTTCATTGAAAACACGATAAAATTAAAGAGAAATTTTGGGGAAATTTGAAATCGGAGCTCCAAATGATAGGATTTTGCCCGACTGTGTGTGGGCTGTTGAGACCTTTTTGTGGGCTGATCGCACACGTCATAAGTCCACTTGCATTTCAAGTTGTACCGTTTAAAGTTGGCACGGTTTCCCTTTTGCTTCTCACATCCTCGCTGCTCCATATATTGGTCAGCCATTTGTGTCGATTTTACCTCATCAATACAGGTGGACTTCTATCTCTTTTTTTCCATCATATAGTGTCTATTTTGACAAGAGTAAAGGATTGATCACTTATTTGCTGAATAAGTTATTGATTCTGGTGTTATCCAGTGAGTGTATTCTAAATTTATTCTTTCAGCTTGCAGTTTTTCAGAAAAATCTCTCAGCAGTTCATAGCATCTGGAAGGAGTATACCAGATATTACAGTTTCAACCTTTTTTCTCTAAGAGAATTCATCTGGTCCTTTTCGAGGTTGGGAGATATTGATGCTGCATGTGAAGCTTTACGGCAACTGGTGACCTTAGCTTTCCGGGGAGGATTTATCATCAAGAGAAATGCTGACAAACAAATGCTCTTTCCAAGACTGAGTGTACCAATACCTTTCTACAATAATTTGGATTTGAGCAGATGTAGAAAGGTTAATATAACCTGCGTTCCTTCTGTATATGAAAATGGTAAGGAAAAGTCTACTCAGGCAAATAGTATGGACCATCACAAAGTTGTGGACTTTGACTTGAAAGAAGTCAAAAGTGTTGGAATGGTGCTAGGAAATCCAAAAGGCATTTTTGTTACCAAGATCTTGAGGCTTTCCTTTACTCATGTTATAAAAGCTTGTGCACGAGCTAAAAACCATAAGCTGGCGGAGCAGTTATTCTTTCAGGTAGTATCTCATTTCACATGCACAATCCAACTACATGTATTTTAGTTAGAAAATTACATATATGTAGAAGTTTATTCTAATTTCATTGTATGCAATTTTTAATAGGAGAACTTCACTTGTACATGTTCTTTATTAGCCAAACCAAATAAATCCAATATATCCCTCCTGAGGTGGGGTCTGGCTGTCTGGGGAGGTATGATGTATGCAGACCTCACCTCTACATTTTTTTATTTTTTTATCGTGGAACAATTATATTTTCTCTTTGAAAGTTTCCGATGTCTCATCTATCTTCTAGTTTCTGATTTTATTTTGTTCTATTTGGTTCAGATGCAAAATCTTGGCATCCAGCCATCACGTGGTGCATATGATGGCCTTATTAGAGTGCTTGCTCGAACCAGAGGTTTCCATGATGGCATGGAAGTGGTATTAAGTACTTCCATTCTTATTATGCCCCATCCTTTGTCTCAGATTAACCTATTTGTCCCTTTGAGTTGACATAAGTTTTTTTTTGTTCTGGTTCTTGGCTATTTTGTGCAGCTAAAGTTGATGCAACAAAAGAATCTCAAGCCACTTGATTCAACTCTTGCAGCACTATCTATAAGTTGCAGTAAAGACTTGGAATTGGATTTGGCTGCGGCGTTTTTGAATCAGATGGCCAAATGTGAAAGACCATATCCTTATAATGCGTTGCTTAAAGCATGTGATATCCTGGTTAGTGCGCAAATATCAACGGAAGTGAATCTAAGCTGTAATTCTGTATAGTGCTAGCGTATACCATAAAACTCACTTTAACTTCTGGCTGCTGGTATTAGGAAAGAGAGAACATAAATTTTGTTAAGCATCAATAGCAAGATGAGTTAAATGTTATTGTCTATTAACTTCAATTTAAATAAATGGCGTTTGAAATGCATTTTAGAACTGACATCCTCTTTATATTTGTTGAAACTCACCATAACCGTTTTCTTCAATCTTGATGTGTGATCTATACTCGTAACTGTGTTTTAGTAACAAATGATGAATCTGTATCTAAAAAAAGTTCGTTTCTCTTTTTTTTTTCTGTATTTTTATTTGTGAAATCATTGGTAGTTGAATAAATGCTACCTTAATCATGGCAAATTATGCTTGTTTAATCAACCTTGCAGGATACACCTGAACGTGGGGTTCATGTATTTGGTAAAATGAAGCAGCTGAAAGTAACTCCAAATATCAAAACATATGAGTTGCTATTTTCATTGTTTGGCAACGTGAATGCTCCCTATGAAAATGGAAATATTTTGTCACAAGCAGAAGTTGCTAAAAGGATACGTGCTCTAGAGGATGATATGATGAGAAATGGCATTCAGCACAGTTATTTATCAATAAGGAACTTGGTAAGTGCTTTTTCGTGCTTTATATCTTCAAATTTGAAGATTTTGAAAAGTAATTGAGGGGCTTTATACAATGTAAAAAATTGTAAAACCATAGTGTGTAAAGAGGCATCAACAGAACTAACAACAGTAATGCTGTATAGAAAAAAGAGGAGAGTGTTACAAGAAGAAAATAGAGAAAAAGGTCTATAGGAAGGAACTTGTAAAAATCTATGCGAAATTATCATATCATTTAGTTGTAGGGCTTGTGGGATTATGCAATTTTACATTGTATAAAAGGTTCATTCTTCTCTTTGTGTTGTGGAAAAGTTGAAGAATGGATCAAAAGATTCTGATAGTTGATAAATATGTTTCACGATCATAAGAGAACATGATAAGGAAAATACAGTCTCATGGAGATCACAACATATGACTGAACGGATACTTTTAGGAACTCTTTTGGTCATCTATATAAACTAACCTTCAATAATCAAAGAGTGAAGAACTCTTGTGAACCCAAATCAGTAGTGTTATTCATGACATAGGAATATCTAATTTGAATGTAAATGAGAGTATGTGGGGTCTCTAGGACTGTAATCCTGAGAATACTATGCTTTGGAGCGCTGAAAGACTGAAACTTCCTCTTTTTGATGATTTATAGCTGCACGCACTTGGATCAGAGGGGATGATAAGCAGGCTCTTACACTACTTGCGTGTGGCAGAAAACCAATATCCTCCACGAACCCCAATCTACAACATAGTGTTGCATTCACTTGTTGATGCTGAGGAGGTAAGTAAGATATAGATATATATATATACAGAGAGAGAGAGAGAGAGGGAGAGGTTGGGGGGAGGGAGGGAGGGACAATCAAATGAAAACCCAAAATGTTACAAACTTGTGAGGTCCTAACCATTCACTATGTTAACTTTAATCATGATTCATATTGTTTAACATGTTTTGTTATTATGTGTGAATTTGTGTGTGTGTTTCATATATGAAACATACAAGACTGTTTCGCATGTGAAAAAACATGTAAATACGTTTCATATATGAAACCCATACAATAACAAAACATGTGAAACAATATGAATCATGGATTAAATTAAACAATTGAGTGGTTAGGATGGTCCTCAGGGGTTTGCAACATGTTGCATGGTTTTCATTTGATTCCACTCATATATATATATATATATATATATATATATATATACACACACACACAGAGACAGAGAAGGGAGGGGGGGGGGGGAGGATCAAACGAGAACAGGGTCAAAAAAGAGAGTACGAGAATGGTCAAATCACATGTGATTTTACACTGAAATCACATGCAACTACAGAACATGTTCAAAATGCAAGGGGTGTGCAGGGGACTTCGCCCTCAACCCCAATAACATGTGATTTTATACGTGATTTTAGTTTAAAATCACATGTAGTTTGGTCACTCTTCTCGTTTGAAGGGGACTATATAGATATATCCTCTGACAGAGGCTGTCCCTTTCTTATATAAATAGTAACTTCTTGTCTTGCAATCCAGGGTGACGTGGCTATCAATGTATTCAAGACTTTGATGTCACATGGCTATTGTCCAAATGGTGTGACTCTTAATATTATGATTGACTGCTGCACCATTACCAGATCATTCAAATCCGCTCAGGGTTTGATCGCCATGAGGATTCGTTATGGTTATCCACCTAACGTGCAAACTTATACGTCTCTTATAAAGGTATTTGGATGTGCCAACATTCATATATCCAGTTTCACACACTTGTACAATGTACACCACTGGTCTTGTCTTAGTTTGCATGATTGTACACCACTTGTTTTCCATTCGTAAGAACTTCATGACTTTCTATAATTGAAGCAATCCAACGAAGTTTGCCTTAGTTTATATTTAGTGTAACAAATAATTTTTTTTCTCAATCAATGTAACAAAGTTTCAAATTTTCCTATTTAGTATAACGAAGTTTCAAAATATTCTATTTTATACCCATTTTGACAGGTAACCTGGTGATCTTTTAACATTTGATTACGTGGATGTCAACTTTATTGTCCACTTTGCCATAATTCTTTCATAAACGATTATCCACGTCATAAAATGTTACAAGATCAATAGGTTACCGATCAAGATGGGTACAATATAGAAAGTTTTGAAACTGTTACATCGATTGAGAAAAAAGTTCTTTTTCCTCACCAAAGGGTCATTGCCCCAACGGTGCCTGGGTTACCGGTAGATCCCTGCCTCCTAGCAGGAGGCAGGTCAAAGGTTCAAACCTTCGTTACATTAAATAGGAACTAAACCAAACTTTGATGCATTTTGGCTTCTATAATCAAAAATTTATTATCTGAAAATTGGCTGATCAGCGTTGTTTTAATGTAATAACATGATGGCTCAAAATTGGATATTAGTCAATGCTCTAGTTCATTTTTGAGCTTCTAACGAGAACCATATGATGGATCAAAGCTTCTTTTGTCTTATGTAATTGTTTCATGAGTTATACAAAATGGTGTTCGATGGATCCACTTTTGTCATATTTTGATTCATACAAGATCGCCCATTCACCACTTCCTTTCCACTTTGATAATCAATCCATTCCAGGCTGTGTTGGCATTGGGAGATTTTGATGAAGCATTGACCCTTCTGAACCATGCATGCTCGGAAGGAATCCAAATTGATGCATTGTTGTTCAACGCAATTCTCAGAGAAGCAGCTTGGCAGGTATCCCAGGACTCTGTATACTTGAGTCTTTTTTATCAAGCTTTATAGAATACCTCCATTTTACAACGCTGCATGTTTGCTTGCTGCCGTTATTGATTTTGCTTCTCAACTTTCCTCTTTTGGAGGATATAAGACTAATGGTCGAAACGGTTTTCATAAACCATGTTTAAACGGTTTTCAAACGGTTTTCATAAACCATGTTAATTCTCTAGGATATAAGCCTAGAGAAAATCGTTGCATTTTCTTTTCTGGAAATTTCAAAGTTAAAAGCTATCTATCAGCCGATTTTCATTGTTGCCCCTTAGTGTGCGTTTGGTATGCGGAATGGACTGGATTGGACAGGATCAATGGGCGAGAGTAAGGTCGGCTAGTGAAAGAACTGTGGAAGGTTTAAGGGTTCTAATTTGATATGGGTAGTTTAGTAATTTACCAATCTTATCTCATCTCCCTTACAAAAATGCATTTGCCCCACTCATTCCTTTCCCAATCTAATGTCGAGCCAATCATGGGACAACAAGTTTGTTATCTATCATGTTTTGCCTGTCCTGTGTACCAAACGCACCTTTACTTATGCCATTGATTTTGGTCTAAAATATTCCATCAATGGAGGACAGTAAAACAATCTTATAAAATTCTTTCTCAATTTTATAATACTCTCTTTTCACATAGGTTTCGGGTATCTAGTAATAGAAATATAGAGCTTTTATACTCCCTCCATCCCAAAGTAAACGTCTACAATGAAAAAAGGCATGCAGTTTTAGAAATATGTAATTATTTTACTATTTAATCAACTAAACGCCAATTTTATCCTTTATAATGAATTTTCTCCGTCTCACAACACCCTTAGAATTGGAAAGTAAGCATTTTGGCACAACCTAAGATAGAAATGTGCTTTGTAGAAAGTGTTGTGCTTATTATTCTCTTTCATAAACCTCTTTGGGAAATTGGGTGGTTTCTCGGAAACAACCTATCTGTCCCTTGATACGGCCTTTTCAAACACATCTTTGGGTAGGCTATACTGGTTTCCTTGGTTTTGTTTTAAATACATTATGAAGAAAAAAGCTGCAACTTTTTTATTGTGTACCTTGATTATACAGGATAGAATAGACATAATCGAATTTGTGATGGATCGTATGCTGAAAGAGAAAGTCCGACCTGATGCTGCAACCTGCGGTTACGTTTTCTCACTATACGTTGATCGTGGTTTCTATAACACGGCCATGGAGGCACTGCAAGTTATGAGTATATGCATGTTATCCGAACAAGATATCAACGAAAACACAACACTTTTCGAGGATGACTTCATTTATGCAGAAGATTTGGAGGCCGAATCAAGAGCTTTGGAACACTTCATAGACTCCGAGCATCATGCCGTAGCCCTTTTGAACTTAAGATGGTGTGCCATGCAGGGGAACCCGATTTCATGGTCGATCCATGATAGCTCGTGGGTCAAGAGGCTCTCGGCTGCAAACCGTTATAGATAAATCGACTACTAATTTGAGATAAAAGACATTTACCAACAATTGTATTAAGAAAATAAGAAAATGCATTGGTTGGTTTTTACTTTGTTGTTTTAGGTTAAATTGTGCCAAAATAAAAAAAAAGTCGTTTTAGTTCATATTTAATGTAACAATAACTTTTTTTTATACTTTAATTGGTGTTAAAAAGTTAATTTTTACCCATTTTAACCTGACAAATATTTTAAATTTTGTATGGGTTATGTAAACATGTTATATCAAAAATCTAAGTGATGTAATGTAAGTTAAGGTAAAAATGAGTACAAAGAAGAAGAATTCAACATTTGTAGTAGTAATTGAGGAAAAAGATTTGTCTTATATGACAAAATTTGATGTATTTAGATATTTTATCAGTTGTTTTAATTGAATTATATATATATATATATATATATATATATATATATATATATATATATATATATATATATATATATATAGACTTAGGATCACGTGAGACCAGCCTGTTTTCGTGAAACCCGTGAGACCAGTTTTTTACACTTGAAACTTCACAGCATACAGCAGGTAACCTTCACAGTGTTTTTGCTGTGAAGGTTCGACTTTTTTAAACCTTCACAAACCTTCACAGTGTTTTTGCTGTGAAGTTTCAAGTGTAAAAATGTGGTCTTACGGGTTTCACGAAAACAGTCTGGTCTCACGTGAACCCGACCTTATATATACATATACATATACATATACATATACATATACATATAGAGAGAGAGGCGCGTTCAAATGAAAACCATGCAATTCTTAGAAACCGTGTAAACTAATTTCGACCAATAGGAAAATTTCATTTTTTTCTAATTAAATTTAATTATTAATAATATATTGGTCATTTGCATTGTTTTCTATTAAATATGAAAGTTATTAATAAATCTTAATTAAGGTAACATAATAAAGAAAATTTTATAAATGGTAACATTTAAATATTTAATTAAATTATAATATTAAAAATTGGATTTTGTTACATTGTGTCTCGGTTTATTATTGCCATTATTCATGAAATCGTAAGTTATTAATTCGATTAATAAATTCATGAAATCAGTAATAGAATAAAAAAAGTATTCATGAAACCGGTTTCATAAATGGTGAAATTGGTGCATGAAGTGAAAATGATTATGAAATAAGTGCATGATGAAACCGGTTTCATACATGGTGAAATTGGTGCATGGAGTAAGTGAAAATGATTATTGAATGGGTGCATGATGAAACCGGTTTCATACATGGTGAAATTGGTGCATGGAGTAAGTGAAAATAATAATGAAATAGGTGCATGATGAAATGGGTATAACATGAAATAGGTGCATCAAGAAATGGATGCATGATGAATACGGTGCATGATGATACGGTTGCGTGAAGGAAGTGAAACCATTTCAGAAAAGATAAGAAAAAGCTTGTGTAATTAGCGAAAAGTGAAGCAATTTCATTATCAGCTGTGAAACAGATTAATGTTAGATTTGTTTACAAAACGTTCATTGAGGAGCTTGTTTTATGAAACATATGCAGATTGGTTCATGAAAACGTTCATTGAGTAGCTTGTTTTATAAAACTTTTGGGGATGAACTGGTTGTGTAATTTTCTTATCAAACAATTATTGATGAAATTGTTTTATTTTGTTAAGAACATGTTGTGTAATAAGCAAACAGTGAAACCATTTCATAATTGCATAACGACGGTGAAACCATTTCATAATTGTTAAGAACATGTTNTTGTTAAGAACATGTTGTGTAATAAGCAAACAGTGAAACCATTTCATAATTGCATAACGACGGTGAAACCATTTCATAATTGTTAAGAACATGTTATGTAATAAGCAAACAATGAAACCATTTCATAATTAAATTAAAACGGATCCATCTACCGAAAACATGAAAATGACAAATGTCTCATCTAATAGGCAAACAGTGAAACCATTTCATAATAAGATTGAAACGAATTCATCTTATGAGAAAATGAAAAATGACAGATGGCTCATCTAGAAAGACGTTTATTTGTGTATCGTAAAAAATACGGTGAAATCATTTCATTCATTAAATGTAACAGTTAAAAATATTGTTTCTTTGTTCAAAATGGGGTTGATTAAGGAAATTGATGATTATACCCGATTTATTGATATAGACGGTTTTACAATTTTGCCCCTTTTCCAATTAAAAAAAATATTTTTATTTTTTTATTTTTAACTCTCTAATATAAACTAAATTAATCTTAACCATTGATTAAAAAAATGGATGAATGAGATTGGTTTATATGGTTTACATAAATGATGGCGGTTTTCATTTGATCGTTCCCCTCTCTCTCTATCTCTCTCTCTCTCTCTCTCTCTCTATATATATATATATATATATATAGGATTGGGTTCATGTGAGATCAAGGGTTTTTCGTGAAACCCGTAAGACCAATTTATGTTCATTGATCAACTTTATAAGCTAATGATCTAATGGTTTAAAGTTGCATGGTGACAATTTTGTGATTATTGAGAAGTCTCATGGCAATTTKGTGATTATGAATGTTCAGATTGTAGATCTAATCCAAGAGTTGAGAATTGGTCTTACGGGTCTCACGAAAAAACCTTGTTCTCACATGATCCTAAGTATACACACACACACACACACACACACACACATATATATATATATATATATGTATATATAGGGTTGAATTCACATGAGACCAACATGTGTTTTTGTGAGATCACCATTTTTTTACACTTGAAATTTCATAGCAAAACGTTGCGAAGGTAAAAAAACGGAACCTTCATAGCAAAAACACTATAAAGGTTACCTTTACAGCGTTTTACTATGAAGTTTCAATGGTTCTCACGAAAACAAGATGGTCTTACGTAATCCAAGTTTTCATTTGACAAAATAGTTGATAAATTAATTACAATTGGTAAAAACTAGTTGATAAGCTAGTAGAAAAATACAAAATAATCAAAAAGACATGTTAAAAAATTAGTTAATTCTATTATTTCATAATATATATTAAAAACAAATAATGAATAGACTTAATTACATTTTTCGTTCTTATGGTTTGTTAAAAACTTCAGGTTTCATCTCTATGGTTTTGAAATTTCGATTTTTGTCCCTATGGCTTGAAATTCATTTTTATTTTCGTCCTTTAAGCCAAAACACTAATTTTAAGTATGAAAGACTAAAATAGAAATGAATTATAACTATAAAGACGAAAACACAATAAACTTTAAATAACAATAACGAAATAGATAAAGGATTATAAAATGTAGGGATGAAAATTGTCAATTTAAAATCATAAAGATGAAAATAATTTTTTTTTTAAAAACCACAAGCACTAAAAACATAATTAATTCTAATTAATAATTTAATATGTTAAGTAATATAAACTAGATGGTAAAAATAAATAAATAGTATAATATGTTAATTAATAGAATTTTAGTTACATTTATTTTATATAATGTATATGCATGTATATATGTGGTCGAAGGATCGTGTGAGAAGGAAAATTATTGTGTGTAAGAATATATTTGAACCCTTGATAACTTTTAGGTGACATTTGTTTTTTAAAAGATGAAGTCTTATTTTACTTCTATTTAATAAGAGGTGGTTCTGAAGTCTGAAATCTAAATCAATAAGGCTGTTTGTTTTTGTTGACAAACATCTGAAGTTTGAAATCTGAATCAATAGTTTGTTTTCGTAAAATCAGGTGCAAACATTTTGCAAAATTCTCTTGATTTTTATAAAATTTCCATTGTCGAAATTCATCTCAACAATTGTTAACAAATGGAACACAGTAAAAACCTTTTGGATACCTTTTAGACTTCCGATGCTATCGGGAATGCTGTTGGTGAGTTTGTTTGTGGAAGATCGATACTTTTGATAGAGAATAGATCGCCGATACAAGTTCTTGTTTCACATTAATTTTCTAAGTTACCCTATACGTACATATATATATATATATATATATATAGAGAGAGAGAGAGAGAGAAAGAGAGAGAAAGAGAGAAAGAGAGAGAGAGAGAGAGAGAGAAAGAGAGAAAGAGAGAGAGAGAGAGAGAGAGAAAGAGATCTAGAGAGAGAGAAGGTGGGGCATGCATTTCACATGGGTAATGAAAGGACTGTGGCATTCTTGGTGGAGAAAGAAACAATAACCAAGGAGAATCAAAGAAAATGAGAAATAAGAGGAATTAGGATATTAGTTTACCTCTTATTTATTCATATCCTATTAAGTGATAATAGACTCTGAAAATAATAAAGAAACAAACAGTCTGAATTACAAAATGATAACTAAGAGTTGAAAATGAAAACACAAACAAGGCTTGAGTTTTGCTTCTTATTTGTCCAACTCACCAACTTCCCACCTAGAAGCTGACAGCCTCTACCGATGTTTTTCCTATCAATTTTGCAACCAAAAAAATCACTATCCACATAACCAATAAGTTCGAAACCTGAGTCCTTGGGATACCAAAGTCCCAGATTAAGATATCTAAATATGCACTTTACATCAATCAGATGAGATTCTTTAGGTTCAGATTGATATCGTGCACATAAACACATAGAGTACATAATATCAGGTCGACTAGCTGTGAGATACAACATGGAGCTGATCATTCCTCTATAAACAATAACGTTTACAAGCTTTCCATTTGGATTCTTGTTCATCAAGAGAGGAGGAGCCATTTGAGGCTTCATAGATGAACTGTTGGTTAAGTCGAATTTTTTCAACATATCCTGAAGTCACTGTTGGGCATCATAAGTTAGGAAGAGTCGAATAACTTTGAGTCTAGTCACTGTTGCGAATATTTCATCATAATTGATTCCTTCTTCTTGCTTGTATAACTGAGCAACAAAAAGAGCCTTGTTACGGGTTACAATTTTTTGCTCATCCAACTTATTGTGATAAACCTATTTGGTGCCTATCACAGTTTTGTCAGATGGACGCGTAACAAGGTACCAGACTTTGTTCCTATCAAACTCAATGAGTTCTTCTTGCATAGTAGTGACCCAGTTTGGGTCAGTGATAGACTCATTGATTTTCCTAGGCTCAACTAGAGAAAAGAAGTTGACAAAGAGACATATATTACCCAGACCATGACGTGTCTGAATACCTGCACTTAGATTGCCAAGAAT